AGCGGCAGGCTTGTTCTGTCTGAGGCTCAGCAGGCTTGCTTGTTTAGGACTTGGTCTGCCTGTGGATAGGCTCACACGGGCTGGCCTAAACCTGCTGGGCTTGGGCAGGGTCTAGATCAGCTCTCCCACTGGGCATAGCTCAGGCTGAGCAAAAGGAGCCTTGGCCCTGCTCCTTTACACACTCGCTGCACCTACCCAACTTCCTCTGGACTGATTGACAGGTGTTTCAGGGGGCTGCCATCAGAGAGACATTTTACATATGTGAAGTGCCTCCCCTTGTCATGTCTTCCCTCCTCTGCTAATCGGTGTGATGCATGCTGCAAGTGGCAAACACAGTGCCTGTCAGTAATGTTGAAGTTAGGTTAGAAATACCAACTGATCTGTGTCTCTGTCTCATTTAGATTATTGATTACTTAATATTGCTAAAGAATTAAAATGTATGTAAAATAAATTACGAGATATGATTAATTTGTTTACTCAGTATTTGACACAGTAGAGGTGACAGCCCAGGGTTGTGTTACTATAGCAGTCCAGACACTCTGCCACTTGCCTAGCTCAATCTGGATGGTCATGGGTCAGTACACCAGGGATGGCCTCACATACCTTGTCCAGTTGTGAACTTGTCCAGTTGTGTGGGGGTTTTAAATCTCTAGAATGGCTTGGAATGTGGAACAGGTGGCAGCAGTGAATTCCTAACTGTATTAGTGTAAACCAAACTGCTATTATTGGTGTATGGATATTAAGTCATTTATTAGGGACTCATCTGATAGATGGGGTTTGATCTCTCCTGGGTTTTTAGAGTAAAATTAATGAATTTATATAAGATCAATATATTGCTAAATGTCTTATAGGATAGTCACATAAATGTCTCTGGTATAGTATTTGGATGTGAATGTGTTAAATATCGTGACACAGTATATTATAGGTATACTTCACTTACATTTTCATACAAGGAATCTGTCTACTGATTTATTAATGCAGAAAAGTTCTAAAGATTGAAATGAAAGCACTGAATTATTTAGGGCAGGTCCCACTGATTAGTGTAATTGGGAACGTGACAAGATTTTGACAGATCGTTTCCTGTATGAAGACTTGGGTCTGTTCTAACTCAATTAGTTGACAATGGACATATTTGAAGGGAGAGGACTTTCAGTAGTGCTATTGTTCGAGACCCTTTACTGTTTGTGTGTTTAGGCTGATTCACCACAACAGGGGTCTGTCAGAAAACAGCAAGTCAATGGCAAGAAAAGAAACAGGCCTCAGAAAATTCAACTTGTAGAGTCACTCACAGCGTGAGCATACATTCACAGCACTGCAGTCCTCATAGTGTCTTTCTCTCTCTCTTCAGTCGGTGACAGCTGTAGCACAAACATTTTCCTTGTCATTACAGGCCCTAGTGTGTGCTCTTTCAAAGAGTAAACCTAAAGTAAAGTAAAGTAAAGTAATATAGAATGCACAAATGTTGTCTATTGAGCAATTAATTTTTTTTCCCACCTGGACTGAGCTAAACCTTCATTATTTGTGGTTTATTGCTAACATGGTGAAATATGAGGAGTGATGACTCTCATCACTGTGAAACAGCCTGACAACAGGTACAGCAACGAGGATAAAGCATTTAATAGATGCCTGAAGAGATTATAAATCTCATTAGGACCAATTATCTCACAGTATTTGCCTTAAGGCTGTTATAATCCTGCAAGGCCTTTAACCTGGGCAGGATTAATATGCTTTACCTTATTGTTCACAGGGGGAATTCAGAGCAGTAATGAATGATCCATGTGCATGTTTTGGCAGACCTGTGCTTTGTTTGGAGTATACTCACTTTGGCTGTGCTAAGGAGTTGTGAAGTTTAGGCATGGGAGAAGAGGCTGAATCAGGTGTGCAACATTCCTCTGGCTGTGGCATGCCTCAAATCTCCTCAGCCACAGTCCCAATGCAAATTCCTGTCTAGCACTAACAGCTCTCAAGGATGCACCCTCAATTAGCACTCTATATTCCAACAGGAACAGGATAAAATGTCTTGCTTCAAAATATTGACCTGGATATAACATGTCAGTGGGCTATTGAGAGCAGAAATAACATTTAATTCCTACAAGGCCAACCCTACAGCCCATCAAAAGCAAAGGAGCATTCTGAATTTTTCTTCCTTCTTGGCCACTGGACTAATTGGCGGTTTTAGGTGGACTTCAAATACTGCTACAGCTGTTGACTTTGCTGTGGTGAAAACAAACGGCCGTGTAGTTGAGGGCTCAGCTCACACAGAACACACTAATTTCATTGTGAGTTCAGGAAGCCTGTGGCAGAGCTGGGATTGAAATGCGCAACATGCCAAACAGATGTACGGTCTCGCACCGAGGCCCACACGGATCGTTGCCAAGCTCCTGAGCCACAGAAACAGGTGGAGGGTGTCCACTAATCTCTTATTAAAATGGAGATGTATTCTAGCTATGCCTACACTGGGTTGTTATTCTAGCCTTTGGCTTAACATTGCCTCCCATTACTTTGCACTCGTGCAACACTCATTCACTCTATTAAGCGCATTTCCATTTTTGGGGGATGAAAGACCAAACAAACGTCAAATTACTGGCTCAATCGTGATGACACTGAAATAACTGTGCAATAAAAAAATTATACAGTCAAGCAAATAATATTTTGTAGTGAGGACTTTAATAAATAATAACTGTCATAAGATAGGAAATAAGTTTGCTCTTGTCATGAAGTATGCTCTGCATTGCGCAATATGCAGTAAGTCATGGTTGTCTGGGAGGAGTGGCACAAGACGCTTGTGAGAGGAACGCCTGCTTGCTCCCACCTGCTCATGCTGTAGTCCATCCATTAACAGGCCAGACTTTGTTTAGACATGACTAGTGGAAGTTGAAGTGCAGGCCTTCTAATGAATCTCTTCCTCTCACCAGATGACCACGGGGCCCAGTGATTATCACCACTAATGAAAATATTTGGCATGCTCAAAGTATATCCAGAACACTCTTTTACACTTAGACATGTAACTCAGAAGCTGAAGACATTATGGGAGTGTGCATAGAGAATGCACAAACAACCCCCCCCCCCCAAAAAAAGGTTTTATCTTTTCTTTATATTAATTTAATTAAATTAGATCTTTATTTTATTTGATTATATATTTTATTTATATAAATTTTATTTGATTATATTTGACATGAGTTATGTCCAAAATAAAAGAGAGATAAGGGTCAGAACAAATAAATGACAGTGGTGCTTGAAGTGAGTATTGTTGTTATTTTAATGATTGATTTATTGAACTGAATTACTTTTCACTGACAAAAAGCAATGTGTCATTGGGTGAAGAAGCCAGGAAGTTCATCTGTATGATTTGTGTGACATTTTGTTTTATGATACTAATGCTAGTATTACTAATTTAACTTACTAGTTAGCATTAGTATCATAAAACAAAATGTTTAGTAAATAGATTTTCAATGTCTGGGGTCAGAGCTGTGCATTTATTTAAGGCAGAATTAGTAGAACATAATATCTTTTTTGCTTTTTAATCAGTAGCTGTGCTTCAAAATGAGTTGACCTTTTAAATATGTATTTTTGATAGATGATGTTTTGATCTTTCTGTGACAATGAAGAGTGCTACACACAAGATACATCTTTAGGGGAAAGAAAGCACATACAGTAAATATAATAATAGAAAGAGAATAGTGTAGCAAATACTCCATTCAATGTAATATCATTACTAATCCAAATAATACTGAATCAGAAGTAGAAACCTTACAAAATTCAGTACCAACTTGTAGAAAAGACACCACCACATACTCACAGATTGTATGGAATATGTTATTTCATTGTCTTTCATTGTTATTTCATTGTTCCATCCATTTGCAGATATTGCCTGCATTGAGGCCACCCTCTATCCTACAATTATAAATATTTGATAATATCATTAGTCTTTTATTGCTTAACATAAAATAAGCTACAGTGTCAGTAAATGTGAGGAACGCACTTTCATTACTCAGTGGGTGGGCAAGTGCCCTTCAGGTGGAGGGAGCAGACATGCTGATGAGATATTCCTAATTCCTAAGATTATAAACACTCATCAGTGTTGACCTAAACATGTATTTTATACATATATAACATGTATTGATGAATGGCTCTGCAATCTGGCCTCTTATCCACTGACCACCTGCTCTTACCATTACTGTGATAGTGCTCTGCAATTATGTATATATATATATATATATATATATATATATATATATATATATATATATATATATAGAGAGAGAGAGAGAGAGAGAGAGAGAAAGAGAGAGAGAGAGAGAGAGAGAGAGAGAGAGTCTAATACCAAGATAGGTTTGTACTTGGCTTGTAAAAAGTTTTTTTGAATCAAATTCCATTGTGAGTAATTGTAAAATCATTGAAGCACTGCGGAGTTTTCGACCACGAAAATACAAACTGTAGAAAGGTAGAAAGGCATACAATGATAGTAGTCAGATAGTACTGAAGACAGCACATATCAAATGATATGCTCAGTTTAACATAACTTACAAGTTATGGTGATAACATGCATTGGTTGAAGAAAATGGGCAATGCCTTTAATATCAAAGCAGAAACAGAGTACAGTGTTTTATTCTCTAGTGCCTTGCATGAGGAAAGCAAATTAGTCAAAATTAGTCTTCTAAATTAGAAGTGAAATTGGCCTGTGGATGTTAGGGAGCAGATCAAGCTTTAGGTTGATGCGGACTTTTATGACTGCCATATGGTCTTGTACATTCCTGAAAATAGAGGTGTGCCAAAGGGGTGTAATGAAATAGGGGTGGCTGTGTTTGTGCTGTTTCACATCCAGACAGCTGGTGTTGTTACACTAATCATCTGCTCAATTACGCAGGAATGGTGCTGAGAGATGAGGGAAGGCTCCACTCTGCCCTCCAAGCACTCCAGTTCACCCCCTAGGAAAGAAAAGATAAACTACTTTCTCCAGGTTTTAGTCTCATTATATTCAATTAAAAATAATGCTGTAGGGCAGTGCTAGCTCAGTGATTAATGTGTTGGTCTACTGCTCAGAAGGTTGTGAGTTCAAACCCCAGCACTGTCAAGCTGACATTGTGGGGCCCTTTAACCCTCAATTGCTCAGATGAATGAATGAGAAAAAATTAAGTCACTCTGGATAAGAGCATCTGCCAAATATCATAAAAGTAAAATGCTCACAATTGAGATATATATATATATATACATGTAGTGTTATTATATTGAGCTGATGACTATGTTTTCATACAGTGATTTTGCAGAGACTATGACTATGTTTTCATACAGAGATGTCTGGTACAGTAGCAGTTAAAAGTCTGCAGCACATATGCTATATATATAATCACATTATATGTAATAAATGTTTAAATGATGCTGTTAGAAGGTAAAAGTGTAAAACATTGGTTTCATGTGGCTATTTGAACACTTGTTTTTCCTTCTCAGTTATGATCATCATGAGCTCTTTACAGTGAGAGTATGCATCTTGTGGTGATAACTCTGTGACCATTAATGTTTTTTTAATACTGTGCAATTTTTAGTTTTATCATGTGACTTATACATAGAATTTCATGAAGCATTAGATTTTTATTTTTCTTCTGTCTGAGATATGTGTCATTCTTAATATTTCATGCCAAGACCATAGAATTCTAACCCAATATATGACAGTTCTGTGATTACTTTAGTTAATTTCTGCCACAAATGTCGGTCTTGACTGAAAACCTAATTCAAGTTTTGAAAACTTAACAAAATCTTATATACATATTCTGAATTTATTTACTGGTCATAAATTGGTTTGAACCTATTACCTCAAATTATGCCATTAACAGTTTTTCTTCATTAGTTTTTTATTTTTATTTTACTTTGTGCTCTTCAGTAGCTGTAGCATCCCAACTCTCATATTAAATTAGTAAATATACAGCAAAAGACATGAACAAATTTTATTTTACAGTGCTGTGAAAAGTATTTCTTCTGTTTTTGTATATACATCTCATATAAATTGTTTCATAAATTAAAACAAAATCTCAGATAAAACAAAGGCAACTTGAGTAAACACACAAAATCCATCCATCCATCCATCCATCCATCCATCTTCTCCCGATTATTCCTCTTTCATCTTCATTCCTTCTTCTATCCCAGGAAGCATCGGGCACAAGGCAGGGTACATCCCTGGACAGGGTGCCAGTCCATCGCAGGGCACAATCACATACACACTCACACAATTTAGACACATCAATCAGCCTACCATGCATGGGGTTGGGGGAGGAAACCAGAGTGCCCGGAGGAAACCCCCGCAGCACGGGAAAAACATGCTCCGCACACATGGCCCCAGCAGGTATCGAACCCCAGACCCTGGAGGTGTGAGGCTAACCACTAAGCCACCGTGCACCCTAAACATACACAATACTGTTTTTAAATTATAAGGTTATTTATTGAAGAAAAAAAGTTATCTAATTCCACTTCTGGTCTGTGTGAAAATGTATTTGCCCCTGTAGTTACTAATTCCCCAAATCGATGAAATTGCATTCATAATGGGGTTCAGTCTGATTACTGCAAACCCTGTTCAATCAAATCAACCCTTAAATAGAACTTTTCAAACTGCATGAAGTTGATTAAAAGATCTTACCCAGTAACATATTATACCAAAGTTGAAAGAAATTCCAGAAATTATTAAGAAGAAAGTGATTGAAATACATCAGTCTGGGAAGGGTTACAAAGCTATTTCAAAGACACTGGGACTCCAAAGAACCACAGTAAGAGTCATTATCTCCTAATGGAAAAATTCGGCACAGTAGTGACCCTTCTCAGAAGTGGTCAACCTTGAAAATCCCTCCAAGAGCACAGCAACGACTCATCCAGGAAGTCACAAAAGAGCCAAGGACAACATTGAAGATCCTACAGGCCTCTCTTGCATCAATAAAGGTCACTGTTCATGACTCCACTATCACAAAGACACTAGGCAAAAATGGCATCCATGGAAGAATGGCAAGGTGAAAACCACTGCTAACCCAGAAGAACATTAAGGCTTGTTTGAATTTTGACAAAACCACACCTTGATGATCTTCAAACCTTTTGGGAGAATGTTCTGTGGACTCATGAGTTGTGGAACTGTTTGGAAATCAGGGGTTCCTGTTCCTGTGGCATAAACCAAACAGAGAATTCCACAAAAAGGGCATCATACCTACGGTGAAGCATGGTGGAGGAAGTGTGATGGTGTGGGGATGCTTTGCTGCTTCAGGGCCTGGCCAACTTGCAATAATTGAGTGAAACATGAATTCTGCTCTCTACCAGAAAATCCTAAAGGATAATGTCCTATCATCAGTCCGTAAGTTGAAACTCAAGGGCATCTGGATTATGCAGCAAGACAAGACAACGAAAGACTGATTTCCAGTTATCGGAAGCATTTGGTTACCGTTGTTGATGTTAAAGGTGGCACAAACAGATTTTAAGTTTAAGGAGGCAATTAGTTTTTTACATGGGTGATAGGAATTGGATAACTTTTTTTGCTTCAATAAAACAAATAAATAAATAAAAACTGTATTTTGTGCTTACAGTTTACTCAGGTTGCCTTTGTTTTATGTTGTATTTGTTTTAACCTTAAAAACTATTTAATATGAGAAAACAGAAGAAATAAAATACTTTTCCCTAGCACTATATATTAGCATCAACAAAATTGGAAAAACCATATCTTAAAAAAAAAAAACTTTCTGTTTATGGTTAATTTTTCCCCCCACAGGAAGTATCAGAGATATTTTAGGCAGCATCCTGCCATGTTACTGTCAACTGTCTGGTTTGGAAGTGCCTGCGGTGTGTCCAAAGGATACCGGTAGGAGCCCTGAGTGAATTAGCATATAAGTACATTACATGTTAATGCAGGGGCTACAAGCTGAGTACTTTGATTTCTATGCTCTAAGCAGGAGCTGCATTTTTCCAATGGCTGGTTTCCTGAGGGAGGGACTGTGCCTGGAGAGTTGGCTGGGGGAGAAAGCTAGGTTCCTTGTATACTAGTAAGAATGCACTGGAGAAAGTGGAGCATTCTCTCCACTGAGCTGTTAGACTTGGATTTATCAGTGATTACACATTCAGTTAATAAAAAGAATAAACTATTCTTTGAAAAGGCTGCTGTGGCCACCTAAAATGCATCCATCTTCCAGGTTCATTTAAATCAAATCATATATTTTCTTAACATTTATAATATAAAATGATTTAAATTAATGTCTTGGGCTTGGGTTAGGAACCTTATTATAATCCAGATTATCGACAGTCTGCTCCATATATATATAATTAAAAATACTAATTCATCCTTGATAGAAGTCCTCAAATGAGTCTTATAAGCTGAGCTGATATAAGCTGTCAAACATGCAACAATACCACACTTATGAACTAATTTGCATCAGTATACCTCCTATATACAGTGGGGGAAATAAGTATTTTTTTCAGTAAATATATTTCTAATGAGGGCGCACGGTGGCTTAGTGCATGTTCGCCTCACACCTCCAGGGTCTGGGGTTCTAGTCCCGCTGGGGCCATGTGTGTATGGAGTTTGCATGTTCTCCCTGTGCTGCGGGGGTTTCCTCCGGGTACTCCGGTTTCCTCCCCTAGTCCAAAGACATAGATGGCTGATTGGCGTGTCTAAAGTGTCTGATGCTCCCTGGGATAGGCTCCAGGTTCCCTGTGACCCTGAAAAGTGACCCTCCAATGAGGCTATTCACACGAAACTTTCACCAGACATCAGTATTGACTCAAATAATCTGGAAATATAAAGAATTCACAAATATACATATAGAAGTATATAAATAAAGTGGATTGACGCAGGAAAAAAGTATTGAACATTAGAAAAAAACATAAGAAAAAGCAATTCTCCAAGGCAAGGTAAAGCAAGGAACCAGCCGAAATCTGTCAGTAATTATACCCCCCATATGTGCAAATTAAAATCAGCTGGGTTAGTAAAAAGTCTATAAAAAGTCTTTTTGTTACCAAGGTGTCATCCAAGAAACATCTCATGATGGGTAAAAACATAGATCTCTCCCAAGACCATCGCAACCTTATTGTTGTGAAACATATTGATGTTTCACAGATATTTAACACAGATATTTTTCAAAACTTCTGAATCCTCCAGTAGGCACCATTGGGGCCATGATCCGCAAGTAGAAGCAACATCACTCCGTCATTAACTGGCCACACACAGGAGCTCCTCACAAGATTTCTGACCAGGGAGTCAGAAGAATAGTCAGATGTGTGGCCCAAGAGCAAAGGAAAACTCGGAAGATCTCCAGAAACACTTGGAGGCAGCAGGTGCCATCGTCACAGAGAAAACAATAGGCAATGCACTCCACTGCTCATGTTCACCCCACAGGACTCCATTACTAAAGAAAAGGCATGTCGAAGCTCATTTAATGTTTGCTACAACTTATTTCGACAAACCTATGAAATACTGGGAGAGTGTAGTCTGGTCAGCCGAGAGCAAAACTGAACTTTTTGGCTGTCAATCTACACACCATGTTTGGAGAAGAAATGGCATTGCATATCACCCTAAAAACATTATACCAACAGTGAAGTTTGGAGGTGGAAGCATCATGGTGTGGGGATGTTTTCTTCGCATGGTACTGGCAGACTTCATATAATTGAAGGAACAATGAATGGAGCCCTTCACCGGAAGATTCTTCAGAAGAATCTGCTGCCATCCACCAGAATGATTATGAGATGTGGGTGGACCTTCCAGCAGGACATCCAAAGTATACAGCAAAGGAAACTCTTAATTGGTCCATATTTACATCCATCCATCTTCTATACTGCTTATTTTTTTCAGGGTCATGGGGAACCTGGAGCATATCCCAGGGAGCATCAGGCACAGGCGGGTACACCCTGGTCAGGGTACTCTCAATTGGTTTCAGAAAAAAAAAATCAAGGCATTAGGATAGCCCAGCCGATCACCTGACTTGAATCCAATTAAACAAGATTTAAAAGACAATATGTTTAGAAAAATGGACCAAAATCACACCTGAATACTGCGGCTGGTTGATTTCTTCAAACAGGAAGTGTCTTGAAGCTATCATTACAAACAAACGCTTC